CCCCCCAGCCCCGTCCATCCCCCCCAGCCCCCCAGCCCCTGCCCACTCCGCGTTACCCAGAGCCGATTTGGCAGCGGCCGAGGCCACACGCGGATCCACCACGGAGGCCAGGAAGGCCACGGTGCTCATGACGGGGTTGCCCGACTGGCTGAAGGGGATGGGCTGGTAGGCCAGGGGTCCCAGGGAGGCCTCCGAGTCCTCCAGGTAGGGATCCTCGATGGGCAGGCGCAGGAAGTGCAGGATGCACTCGTCCTGCGTGCGGCTGCCCACGTGCTCCGACACCTTGTTCCAGTCGTCCTTGTACATCTCCAGGGCCTGTGGGGCGGGGGAGAGGGGTCAGCGGGGTCTGGCAGCCCTGTCCCCACATTTCCTGTCTAATGTCCCCTGTTCCATGTCCCCTGTCCCCACGTCCCCTTGGTCCCCTGTCCCCATGTCCCCATGTCCCCTGTCCCATGTCCCCTGTCCCCATGTCCCCGTCCCATGTCCCCTGTCCCATGTCCCCTTGGTCCCCTGTCCCCATGTCCCCTGTCCCCGTGTCCCCTGTCTCCACATCCCCACATCCCCACATCCCCTGTCCCCACATCCCCTGTCCCTATGTCCCCTGTCCTCACATCCCCACATCCCCACATCCCCTTGATCCCCACATCCCCTTGGTCCCCACGTCCCCTCGGTCCCCAGGCACCTCCAGCAGCAGCAGCGTCTCCTGCTCCGTCCACTCCCGCGTGGCGCTGGCGGCAGCTTTGCTCTGTGGGGTGAAACGGGGTGTGAGCGGCGGCGGCCGGGGGGCCGGGGGGGCCGGGGCCAGGCCCGGGGGGTGCCCACCTTGGACGGGACGTTCTTCTTGGTGTACATGTCGGTGCGGAGCCCGAAGTTCTGCATGTCCGCCGGCTTCTCCTTGCCCTTCTCCGGGAAGTTGAGCATCTGCTGCGAGGCCGAGGTGGGCTGCTGCTGGTGGGGAGAGGGGGACGCGCTGGGCCGGGGGGCGGCGGGGCAGGACATCGGCGTGTCCCTCCTCCCCGCTGATCCCGGAGAAGCCTTCGTGTCACGGTGTCCCCATCACGGCGCTCCCCCGCGCGTCCCTGCTCCCCGGGGCGGGGCGGCATGCGAGGGGGAGGAGGGAAGGAGCCTTCCTCGGCCAGCGGCGGGGGGCACGGACCCCAAGGAGCCGCCTACCAGCTCCGGCTTCCCCTTCACCGTCTCGCTGACCAGCTCCTCCATCTCTTTGCTCTTGCGGCCCGTCTTGGCGTCGCCGTCGCTCTGCCGGCCCTGAGGCACGGATCGAAGCTGTGCATCGCCCACCCCCCGCCCCACCCCGCGCCCGGCCCCCGCGGGGACCGGGGGGCGGCAGGGGGGGGTCGCGGCTGGGAGGGGTCCCCGGCACCCACCTGGGGCGTCTTGGGCTGCAGCGGCACCAGCCCCGAGGGGGTGTCGGCCAGCACGTGGAAGTGAGAGGTGGGCGGGGGGCCCATGGGGGTGGGCCGGCTCTCGGCGTCCACCTGGTAGTTGATGAGGCCCCACTGCTCCAGGAAGGCGTGGACCCTGTGGAGAGCTGCGGTCAGAGCCCGTGGGGCTGGACAGAAATCAGTGCCAACTGACCACTGTGTCCCATGGAACTGGACAGTCAGCAATGCCAACTGACCACTGTGACCCACAGAACTGGACAGTCAGCAGTGCCAACTGACCACTGTGACCCACAGAACTGGACAGTCAGCAATGCCAACTGACCACTGTGACCCACAGAACTGGACAGTCAGCAGTGCCAACTGACCACCATGATCCATGGAACTGGACAGTCAGCAGTGCCAACTGACCACCATGACCCATGGAACTGGACAGTCAGCAGTGCCAGGGTGCCAGCTGACCACCCTGTGGACCCCCCAGTGCCACTGCCACCCCCAGGGTGCCAAAATGATCCCCCTGTGCCACTGACACCAAATCCCTGCCACACCTGGGGTGCCACACTGACCCCTCAGCACTGTGCTCTGCCAGCCCTGGCTGCCACACTGACCACCCAGCAGCCCTGGGTGCCACACTGACCATCACCACCAGCACTGAGGTGCTGAACCCCAACCTTGCCAGCACCAGCCCCCTGTGGGATTGGGGTGCCAACCCCAAACCCCCACCATCACCAGACCCCTGGCAGGATTGGGGTGCCAAACCAACCCCTAACCATGACCAGCACCGGACTCTGTGGGATTGGGGTGCCACACCAACCCCTAAACACAATCAGCACCAGCCCCATGTGGGATTGGGGTGCCAAACCAACCCCTAACCCCCACCCACACCGGACCCTGTGGGATTGGGGTGCCACACCAACCCCTAACCATGACCAGCACCAGACCCCTGGCAGGATTGGGGTGCCACACTAACCCCTAACCACAAGCAGCAGGATTGGGGTACCACACCAACCCCTAACCCCCACCCACACCAGACCCCTGGCAGCCCCGGGGTGCCCAGCCCGTGGCCAGCCCCCAGCCGGACCCACCGCATGATGGCACAGACGTCGCCGGCCAGGTTGCGCCGGCAGGCCGTGGAGGTCAGGTACTCCTGCGGGTTCAGCCGGTACGTGTCGATCATGAAGTTACGGTAGGCCAGGTATCTGTGGGGGGCACGGGGGGTGGGCTCAGCGCCGGGCACGGCCCCGGGGGGCTGCGGGCAGGCGGGGACGGGGGGGGGGTTTGGCCTCACATCTCGGGGGTCTTGGATTTGTTTTTGCCGTTGAAGAACTCGGGCAGGGCGCGGCGCTCGATGGCGTGGACGCTGCGGGAGGAGAGGCTCGGGGAGGGCTCCGGGAGCAGCCTCCTCATCCTCAGCTGATGAAGGGCGGCTCGGGAGCCCCTGGCCGTGCTGGCTGTACCTGTTGTAGTCGAACCAGGCGGCGTAGCTGGGGATGATGATGTGGTGGGTCTGCTCTGTCACGTTGTCCTCGTGCAGGTCGGGGTTCTTGGCCTGCTCCCCTTTGCTGCCCGTGCCGTTCTCCTCCTCGTCCTGCCCCACACAGCAGCACCCCATGGGCAAAGGGACCCCCTTCAGCGCCCCTCATCATCCTCACCCACAGCGGGATGAGACCGAGGGCCCCGGCTGCAGCCCCAGGGGTGAGGGGAAGGGCAGAAAAGAGCGTTTTTCCACCCAAAAGAGGGACGAGGACTGAGAGAGAAGCGGGTGATCCCTGAGCAACGCTGGGAACGCCTTCCTCACCTTGCCGGCTGTCTCCATGCTCTCGTCTTCCTGCTCATCTGGAAGGGAGGACAGGGGTGGGTTTGGGCACTGCCAGGCCGGGGGTCCTGGGGCTCTGCTGGGGCTCCTCAGACTCACCCAGGTCTGTCATGGTGCCCCCCTTGACGGGCGCCGACTCCGAGTCCTTCTTGGTGTTGACTGTGGGGGGGAAAGCGGTGCTGAGCACCCTGGGGACCCCTCCCACAACTGCTGGGGACCCCGGGGGGTGGCTGCTGCCCCCCACACTGACCCGTTTTGGGCAGGGTGACCTCCTCCACGTTGGGGACGGGCGAGGGCTCGTCCATGTCCTTGGTCAGGTCCTCCTGCTCCTCCTCGCGGTGCCCACGCTTGGATTTGTTGTAGGGGGTGGAGGGTCTGCCGAGGGAGAGACCACCCCCCCCCAGTCACCACAGACCCCCAGGGCTGAATTCCACACCCCCAGACCCCCCCAAATCCCCCCAGCTCACCCCTTCTTCGCATTCTTCTTCTTGGCCTCGGGGGTGGGCGAGGGGGAGGGCGAGCGCTTCCTCTTCTTGTAGTTGCCCCCCTTCTTGTCCCGCCGGTCCGAGTCGGGGCTGTTCACCTGGGGGGCACCGTGGGGGTCCTGCTGAGCAGGGTGAGACCCCCCCAGGACCCCTCCCCGAGGGGCTCTGAGCTTGCTCTGACCTCGTCCGTCAGGGTCTTGGCCGAGATCTTCTTCCTGCGGGTGACGGGGCTCTTCTCGTCCGTCACCTCGTAATCCTCCTCGTTCATCCACTCGTTGAAGGTGTCCGTGTCCAGGATCCACTTGGCGTGGACCTGCCGGGCAGGGGGGTGGCTGGGTCAGCCCAGGGAGGGGGGCTCCAGCTTCCCCCCAAGCCTGGGGGTCTCCCCCGGTACCTTCCGGGGCTTCTCCGGTGTCGGGGGATCCTCCACGGACGCCTCGATCTCGCTGGCCGGGATCCAGGTGTCGTAGCTGGGGAGGGGATGGGGTCAGTGTGGAACCCACAGCGATTTGGGGGGACTGGGGGTGGTCCCCGAAATCTTCATCCCCCCCTCACCTGTCGGGGTAGTACCCCCAGTGCAGCAGCACCTGCTTGTCACGCTTCATGACGGGCCGGACCCACTCCTCTGTGGGGCACACGGGGCTGAGCAGGGATCCTCGGCATCCTCCAGCCCCCCAAACTCCCCTCCTGCACCCACCTTCCTCTGGAGCCCCCCAGAGCCCCCCGTGAGCCCCCCAAACTCCCCTCCTGCACCCACCTTCCTATGGAGCCCCCCAAAATCCCCTCCCGCACCCACCTTCCTCTGGAGCCCCCCGTGAGCCGCCCAGAGCCCCCCAAACTCCCCTCCCGCACCCACCTTCCTCTGGAGCCCCCCGTGAGCCCCCCAGAGCCCCCCCAAATTCCCCTCCCACACCCACCTTCCTCTGGAGCCCCCTGTGAGCCCCTCAGAGCCCCCCAGAGCCCCCCAAACTCCCCACCCACACCCACCTTCCTCCAGGTTCCCGGGCACGGGGCAGACGATGTGGGACGCGTTGCTCTTGTCCTCGGTCACGGTGCCCTGTGACAGCCAGGGGACGATCCCAGGGCTAAATAGCGGGGTGAGGGCTGGGATGAGCCCCCCCCGAGCCCCCCAGCCCGGCACTGCCACCCACCTGGTGCCTCTTGACGATGTCCTTGAGCTTCCCCAGCAGTTTGGGCTCGATCTCCTGGTGCAGGAAGATGTTGGGCCGAGCCAGGCAGTTGTTCTGGGGAGGGAGGAGGAGACAGAGCTCCTGTGAGCTGAGCAGGGTGGGGGGCACAGGGTGGGGGTCCTGGGGTGGGGGTCCCGGGGTTGGGGGGTCAGGCCCGTGGGCTCTTACCTGCACCAGGGATTTCTCGATGGTCATGAACATCTCCACGTTGCGGTCCATGCGCGAGGGATTCTGGAAATCGAAACGCCGCCTTATTGGAAGAAAAGAGCGACTCTCATGAAAGCCACAGCTCGGGTCTCCTCGTCAGCACCCGAAATTTGGGGGGAGGGGAGGTGGGCCACGTGCCTGGACCCCATCAGGGTCCCCACAGTGACACAGGGGGACACGTCCCAGCGCCTGTTTGCTCTGGGGGTGACAGCCCCACAACCGCCCCACCCCGGGCACCCCCGGCCGAGGCCACCCCGGGGCGTTCCCAGGGAGGGGACCCCCACCCCTGTCCCCCCCAGGACCCCCGATGGGTGCAGGTGGGTGCTCACCATCCTTGGTCGCTCTTGAATTTATAGGCGGCTGCCAGGATGTGGCACAGGGCTCCCCCCGCCTTGAAATCCAGGAAGCATTTGATCTGGAACAGGAGAGGGGGTCAGGGGGACAGGGACACTGCGCTGGGGGGGTGACATCTCCTCCTCGGGGTGACATCCCCTTGTTAGGGTGACATCCCCATGCCAGGGTGACATCCCCGTGTCTGGGTGACATCCCTGTGTCTGGGTGACATCCCAATACCAGGGTGACATCCCCATTTTAGGGTGACATCCCATGTCTAGGTGCCATCCCCATGCCAGGGTGACACCCCCTCATAGGGTGCCATCCCTTTGTTGGGGTGGCATCCCCGTGTTTAGGTGACATCCCCCTGTCTGGGTGACATTCCCTTGTCAGGGTGACATTCCCATGTCTGGGTGACATCCCCCTGTCCGGGTGACGTTCCCTTGTCAGGGTGACATCCCCACTAATTGGGGCCACACCCCCTCATCAGGGTGCCATCCCCTCCCGGGGTGACATCCCCTCGTCCAGCTGTCCCATCCCCATCTCTGGCTGCCATCCCCTTGTTGGGGTGACATCCCCTAGTCAGGGTGACACCCCCTCATTGGGTGCCATCCCCTTGTTGGGGTGACATTCCCCTGTCAGGGTGACATTCCCTTGTTGGGGTGACATTCCCCTGTCAGGGTGACATTCCCTTGTTGGGGTGACATTCCCCTGTCAGGGTGACACCCCCTCACTGGGGTGCCATCCCCTCTGCCAGGTGCCGCCTCCTTGGGCTGTCCCCAAGCTGGGATGGAGTCCCCGCAGTGCTGTCCCCAGCTGGGGACCTGTCCCTGCACAGGGACATTGTCCCCAGCTCCTTTTGGGGGGCTGTCCTGGGGTCCCCAGGGCAGTGTCCAGCGCTGTTGGGGTGCTCCTGGCAGGGCACTGTCCCTGTGTGGGGACGCTGTCCCCTGTGCCTTGGGGACAGTTCCCGCTGTCCCCAGCACGCCAGGGCATGTCCCCGAGCAGGGCACTGCCACTGGCTGCTGTCCATGGTCAGCTGCTGTCCCCGAGTCACCCGAATGCTGAACGGTGTCACCAGTGCCATGTCCTGCTGGTCCTGCTCGTTGTGTCCCCAGCTCTCTGGGGCTGTCCCCAGGTCTTTGGGGACATTGGGGACATGTCCCCAGGGGTGTCCCCCTGTCTCTGGGGCACCGTACCTGCTCAGGACCTTGTCCCTGGTCATTATTGTCCTTGTCCCCTTTTCCATGGGGCTCTGCCCCAAGGTTTGGGGTGCTGCTTCTGCATATTTGGGATGCTGTCCCCATCCAGGCCTTGTCCCCACCTCACTGGGGCCCTGTCCCTGGGCTCTGTCCCCAAGTACTGGGGGTCTGTTCCCAAGGACTCAGATTCTGTCCCTGGGTATTGGGGTGCTGTCCCCGTTCAGGACTTCATCCCCTGTTCTTTGGGGCTTTTTTGGGGGGGCTCTGGGGCCTCCTTCCCACTCATATTTGTCCCCAGGATTTTGGGGCGCTGCCTGTGGGTCACCGGGGCCTTGTGTCAGGGTCACCGGGGTCTGTCCCCAGGCCTTTAGGGCACTGTCCCAGCTCAGCAGGGTGATCAGGGCCATGTCCCCAAATCACTGGGGCTCTGTCCCTGGGTACTGGGGTGCTGTCCCCACATCTCTGGGGCTCTGTCCCTGCTCAGGGTCCTGTCCCTGGTCAGCAGAACCCTGTCCCCAGCTACTGGGGCTCTGTCCCTGGCTATTGAGGGGACATCCCGAGTACTGGGATGCTTTCCCTGGATATTGGGGTGCTGTCCCCAATCAGGGCTTTGGGGCTCAGCTTCTCTGGGGCTCCTGCCTGGATCTCCAGGGCCATTCCTGCACCTTTGGGGCACCATCCCTGCTCAGAGCCTTGTCCCTGCCCATCAGGGCCATGTCCCCAGCTCTGTGGGGCTGTCCCTGTTCATCAGGGCCATGTCCCCAGCTCTGTGGGGCTGTCCCTGCCCATCAGGGCCATGTCCCCAGCTCTGTGGGGCTGTCCCTGTTCATCAGGGCCATGTCCCCAGCTCTGTGGGGCTGTCCCTGTTCATCAGGGCCATGTCCCCAGCTCTGTGGGGCTGTCCCTGCCCATCAGGGCCATGTCCCCAGCTTTGTGGGGTGCTGTCCCCACGTCTTTGAGGTGCTCTCCCCAATCTGGGCTTTGTCCCCCCGTTCTCCGGGGCTCTTCCCCAGCTCATCCCCGGCCCACGAGGGTCCATCCCCGCTCCCCCGGGGCACCGTCCCTGCTCTGAGCCTTGTCCCCGGCTCCCCGCGTGTCCCCCTCCCGCCCCGCCGGGGCCCGGCCGCCGCGTCCCCGCGTCCCCCCGCGGCTCTCACCGGCAGCTTGGTGAGGGGCGCGTTGCTGACGTGCTTCCCGAACACCTCCTCCTGGAACTGCAGCAGCTGCACCACCAGGCTCGACAGCGACTTGTTGGTGGGGGGCTCGGCCTGGATGTACTGCGGGGCCGGGGGCTCAGCGCGGCCGCCGGGGCCGCTGAGGGGAGGGGGGGGGCGCGATGGCGGCGGCGGCGCCGTGACAGGCCGGGCCCGGCGGGGCGGGGGGCGGCGGCGGCCCCGCGGTTCCGCGGACCTACCTTCTTGTAGTTCTTGCCGAGCCAGAGCCGCACGTTGTCGAACTGGCTGACGGTGTCCGAGGCCTCGTAGTACTTGACGTTGGGGCCGCCGTCCTTCTTCCGCACCGCCATCTTGAGCGGGCCGGGCCGCGCCGCCGCCTCCGCCC